TCTCCACCAGCCTAGTCTGGCTCCCTCGTGTCAGCATGGGACTGCATGTATCCAAAGAGTCAACTTCAGCTGTATGCTTAATTTGGGGAAAGCCAGATGCTGCACACTCCTTCCCTTTTACACTGAACCAGAGTTGACTGGGTACCTTCTATGGACCCCAGCACCTTGTGAGACACTGCAAAGGAACCAAAGAAATACTAAAATCCGTTCCTCTGAAGACTTATCATTGATCAGTCAATCATCAGGCTGCCTGTTTGAAAAATACAAGATTTACCCTCTACTCTGAGGAACTGAAGAGAGAGGTCACAGAAAGTATTGAGTGATACAAGATAAAAGTTTAAAAAGATTATTCATGAAGTTCGTTTCAAAACAGTATACCCACAGATCTCATCAAATTCCCAATTTAGCCTGACTTTCTCATACCTCTAAAGTATAATTTGCAAAAAGAGTTAAGCAAAATAAGGCAATCCAGAACAAAACTAAACTAAACAAGAAAAACCCGAGGGATTGAAACTGATGGCCTAACCAGTAACACTTGGAGTAGCGTGTTAGCAGGATGAAAAAGTGTTTGCTCTGACTTTAAGTAATTGGCACCGGTGTATTTAACTTTGTTCCTGTTGTCCTTTAAAGTCGTCTTCATTTATATAGTTATCGTTAGCGTGGTTCTTGTGATTTTGCTTTTTTCACTGTTAATAAGGGAAAAGAACAAAGTTGAAGACAAGAAGATGGCTAAGTAGGTGTGTGAGGTCTTTCTCCCCCTTCCATGTACAGGCAACCTCTTCAAAAAACCATATTTGCTGGGCCTGATAGAGTTCATGGAGGTGTATTTCATTAAATCAGAGATCTGAAAGGACCCTTAGAGAGAGAACTTTGGTATGACAGAGGACACCGTAGGATACATGAGACGTAAGAACTGCTCACCATCCTAAAGGCTTCCATGCGAACATCAGAATATGTGACAAAGCGTAATAGGAATGAGCATCTCGTCTGTTGGCATGGGGAATTGAGAAGTGACTAGAGATAATTTATTTTCCCAAACAAAACTGGTAGTTTTAATTGCCAATGCAGGAACAGAGGCTGGCTGCCTTTAAAGACGACCTTTTAATTCTGTAGTGGTCTCTAAAAAGATTTCATCGTGTAGTCACTCTATATTTTCATTTTCTTTCTAGCCAAGCAGTTTTAAATTTCTATGATTATTCATGGAATATTCACATTATTCTGGTGATAGGTCACCAATAATAATAACAGCAGCTAGCATTTAGAGGCCTTTCCTTCCTGCCCTTTCTCATTATTTATTCATGAAACACGGAATATTAGAGCACCTGCTATTTGGGATGGATCACTGTCCACACACTGGGGTCCGCAGAGTAGAGTGACCCCTGGTTTTGCCTTTGGGTATTTGACAGCTGATAAGATGAGGCACAGGTGCAGCCGTCAAGCAGCAAAAATTAGTCGAGTGAGAGCGTTGATTAAAGTGCTAAATGAATCCTGTGGATGGTGAGTGTCTAAGAGTCTGGAGCATGAAGGGGTAGAGGATGGGGGAGGGGAGAAGACCACTGTAGCCTGGATTGGTCGAGGGAAAAGTTCACTAATGGAATGATCCACGATCTGAGCTTTGAAGATAGGATTGGTATAGTTGAAGGGCATTGCCGGTAGGGGAAATAAAGACATGGTGGTGTGGGAATGAGCAAGGCATGATCTGGGGGTAGTGAGTGGACCACTTGTTAGGAACTAAGGGTGCCTATTGAAGTACTGTGTGATTATACTACAGCACCATGTCATAGAATCATGTATGTGGAGCTTGGAAGGCCCTTGGAAATCATCCAGACCAGCTCAGTCATTTTTATAGCTAGGGAAACTGAGGCCCAGACAGAGGAAGTCACTTATATAAGGTCATATAGAGTAGAGAAAGTAGAGGGTTCAAGGCCAAGCCCTTTCACTCCAAATTCAGAATTCTTTCTATGTAGATCCCTGTCTCAGATCAATTCTGAAAAAAATAAATTGCCACCAGATGGCTGAGGCCCTTGAATGTTAGGCCAAGCCAATAGGAGTTTTATCCTGTAATGGATGGGCCAAAGAAAATTTTTCATCAGGGAAGTGATATCATGGGATAAGAAGATTGATTTTGTGGTGACATTTGGGATGGATTTTGGAGAGTAAGAATTTTGTATAGGATGGTCCAAGAAAACCAGACAGAAAGTAGCTGACCTGTGAGATGGACTCTGGATTTGGGTAGTGGTTATAGCCTTGGAAAGGAAAATACAGCAATAGACTTTCAGGGAGTATTGACTGGATTTGCGGGGAGAGGTGACAGGGAAAATAATTGATGGCAGCCCCTGTTAATAAAGGAATGATGCTGAGTTTCCTATCAGATGTGTTGACTTTTTGATTTGGAGCTTCTCAGCAACAGACACATTTACCTGACTGAATCTTAATGCGTTTATGTACTTTTAAGTGTCTCTCAGCAAAGAGGTAATTGAATTACCTGGAATATATACCAGCTCAAGCTATTTAGAAGAGTCCCTGTATTGAATTTATCCCTGTCCACATCAATGGCCATGTTCCCTTACAGAAGGTACTGATTTTTTTTTTCTACAGGGGGAAGAACAAATTGAATTATTGTTATTTATTTACTATCTCTGCTTTTATTTTCCTCAATGTGGTATGATCTTCTAAGTATAATCCCAACAGCTCTGTTTAGGTATTTTGGCTATCGAATGTAGATGGTGTCTAAAGGACATCAGTGTTCTATTTAGTACATGACATGCTATCAGTGCTTCTGAGTGACATTTTTTTTCTTTTAAGTGTTCTTTCTTTTAAATTCTCTTTTCTTTTTATGTTTTTATTGCTTTCTAGTGACCCTTCTCCATCCCCCCGTAGAACTCCTTTCCTTATAACAAGTAGTCAGGAAAAAGCAAGTATGCCCTGGTCTTCTCCTGTAGTCACTTGCTAGCTTCTCCTCTGCCAACAGACTGTGAGCCATACTTCATGTCTGCTCCCTTTTATGAAGTCATAATTAATCATAACTCTGAAGTCATTCAATGTTATTTTCCTTTGTATTGGTTTGCTTATTTCATTTCATATTTGATATCATATTGCTGGGAATATTTTTTATTTGCATTTTGCTTGAAATCCTAGCGTTATGATTTAATATTGCAGTTGGAAAAATTACCTAGGATGATGCACGCTGGGATACATATTGGTGGCTCTCCCTCTCACCCCACCATGTTCAGGTCTGATTGGTTATTCACTTACCTACCTGGCATGGTGCTCCTCCTCTCTACTCCTCTCTCATTCTTTTCTACTTACAAATATGGATATATCTCCTTTTATAAAACAAGGATTGTACTGCTATTGAAGAGATTTATTATTATATTGCTACCTCTGGTTAATGATTAATTCCCCAGTGGCCCTGCTTATTATCATCATTAATAACAATGATAATGAAAGTACCTACCAGATGGAGAATCTTTTCCCCCTTTCCTTCCCTTTCTCCTTAACACCTCAGGCCACCAAGCTGCCAATGGGAGTATCCTTCCTCCTGCTTTCCTTCTCTTCCCCACCTCCCCATTATCTCCACTTGGATGAGATGAGGATTACCAGCTACAATCCTTTTTTTTTTAGTGAGGCAATTGGGGTTAAGTGACTTGCCCAGAGTCACACAGCTAGGAAGTATTATGTGTCTGAGGCTGGATTTGAACTCAGGTCCTCCTGACTCCAGGGCCAGTGCTCTCTATCCACTGTCCCCTACAATCCTTCTAATGAAATGGAGGGCCATCAGGTTATATCTGCTCTGCCATTGTATCCTTCATTCATTCATTCATTCATTCATTCATTCATTCATTCATTCATTCATTCATTTATTTATCTTTATTTTTTTTAAGGCAGTTGGGGTTAAGTGACTTGCCCAGGGTCACACAGCTAGTGAGTGTCAAGTGTTCGGTCTGAGGTCAGATTTGAACTCAGGTGCTCCTGACTTCAGGGCCGGTGCTCTATCCACCATGCCACCTAGCTGCCCCACTGCCATTGTATCCTAAGGGCCTTCTGGGCTTGCACCCTCCAGCCTCCCCCTCCCCGTTCCTGGCCCCCAAAACATGTACACAGCTATTAGATTTGCTGATATACCATGAATCATATCTGACTCTGAAATCTACCCTGCTTCTGCCAGACCTTTCCATCCACCCTGTAGCTAAACTGTCCCTGTTGTCTTCCCCAGTTAAGCTCCCTGAGGGCAAGGACTATGTCAACATTTCTCTTTGTTTCTCAACCTCTTAGCATTGCTGCTGCCTGGCACATATTAAGCATGTAATAAATACCTTTTTAAAAAAATTCATTTGTAATTTGCTTCATGGGTACATAATGCTATCTATCCATCTATCTGTCTGTCTGTCTGTCTATCTATCTTTATTACTTCATTTAATCTTCATCAGAACCTTATATTATGAACATTTTGCAGAGGAGGAAACAGGATCTAAATTGACTGAGTAATAAGAAGTGGAGCTGGAATTCAAAACCCGGATCTTTTGAAATGCTTTTCCATTTAAGCTAGGTGCTTGTAGGATACTTGGTTTTGTTTGGCTAAAAATATTTTTTGGTGGAAAGTTTGAATAAGGAGGTACTATGGAAAAAAAAACCCAAAATACTGAATATTTCAGCAAAATCTAACTCACCCCCCACCATCTAGTCTAGCCTTAACATCGTCAGTTATTCGGTGATGGCATGTATCCAAAGACTCAACTTAAGCTATATGCTTAACCTGGAGAAAGCCATAGCACTGGGCAAGCCTAGGCCTGTACATCATCTGACCTTCATTGTTCCATTATTTTTGCAGAAGAAAGTACTTTTTTTGGGATGTGCTTTATTAGCAACTTGTCTATTTGTTTAATGACAAAACCAGTAGGGTAATTTATTCTCCTTATATTCTGAGGACACGCCTAAGATGGGAATCAGAAGTGTTAAAAAGTCCCCATTTGACAATGATTTTTTTTCTCTCGTTGCAGGTTATCTTCAACCTTCTACTAGTCCAGCTAATTACTCTCCACCATCAATCACTCCAGCTTTATCACAGTTAACAGTGAATGTCGGAAGTGAGATTAAGTTGTTATGTAATGATCGTCACCTGGTAAAGTGGACTTTTGAGAATTCTGCCCTCCATTTTGAATCACGCAGAAATACAGAAACATGGCTCACCACCAGTGCCAAGGCTCAAGATACAGGCAGATATACGTGTACCAACGAAGTAGGCTTGAACAGATCCATTTATGTATTTGTTAAAGGTAAATGTATTGGCTTTCTGTGCTCTAGAGCTATGGTCTCAGTTTTAGTGGGAGTTCAGAAATCTTGAGCTCTGGAGGAAATGATCCTTGGTTTTGGGAAGGCACACAACCCACTTAATTGGTTGCATTCTTTTCCTCCTTTTTCTACTCTCATAATCATGTCTGGAGCCCTGTCTAGAAGTATAATGAAGTATTACCTCCTTTCTTAGTGTATAGAAAGTGTTTTGCAGCCCTTAAGATAATATGTGAACGTCCTCTGTTATTACCATTATTAATGATGAACTTGTATGTTTAATCAAATTTTCCCATCATCTGAACACACCTCTTGAAGTATAAATTAGACTACCTTTGGAAATACATTTACCCTTTAAATATTCTTTATCCTTCCACTTAGAAAATCATGACTTTTTTCTTTTTTTTAGTGTGCTATAGTTCTTTAAAGGTGTAAACAAATGCACTTTCAGAGAATAACTTTGGAGACTGCTCTTCTGAGAAGCAGCAGTTTAGACATGCTCACATTACATTTTTCATCTCCTAATCAAGGTAAAAATCCCAAGGCATATACCAGGATGGTGTTCTAGACTCTAAACCCTAGACTTAGAAAGACTGCAGTTCTTCTTGACAGAAAGCTGTCTGAACAATGAGCAAAATCTAACTTGGCTCTGACTTACCCATATACTCATACAAATGTCTGTGTTTAGGAAAGAGGTACGTAGTGGTCAGTGGAGTAGGCAGGGGGATATTGTGATTCACAGTCTTAAGCACTGAATAAATATTTCATTTGTTTAGGAATTTTGGTACCCTGGAAATAAGTAATATAATTAGCATTCATGTACCTCACTTTTCATGAAGTATTCAAAATATTTCATGAGTTGTCCCAGAATATGTTTAGTAGTGAGTGGTAACTCTACTTTGTAAATATAGAAATGGGCACAGAGGGGCTTTGTAAAAGTCCCTGGAATGTTATATTGACAAGAGGACATTGTTCCTTGAGTGGATGGATGGAACCCACTTGTTGACCTGTAGCCTGTGTTACCAGGGAGTAACCTGGGTCTGCATCCCTAGCTTACCTGGTTGCTACTCATGAAGTTAAATGGAGCTTCATAATGTGATTCTTCTTGTCTATTTTCCTCAGTATTTTCCTCACTGTCATCTGCCACATACATTCCCTGCTCCCACAGAGCTAGCCCGCATTTATTTCTACACCTGACACTTGAAATAATTGCTTTTTAAGCTCATCACTATAGTAGAGACTGTGTTCTCTTCTAAAACATGATTAAAATCTGATCAGGGGATAGTTGCATATAAAGAGCATTTGACTAAAAAGTTGGAAGAATAGTGTTAAACAAGTGGCTTCTTTCCCAAAATTTTCAGTGGGACCCTCTCCCCTTCTAAAGCTTTTGGGATTTGCCAAGTTTGGCAAATCAGAAAATTTCAGTGTTGGAGGTGGGGGGAAGGGAGCACAAAAACACACTTTCACATCTAGCCAAGGGTTAATGTGAATGAACAAATCTATCTACTGAGAAATCCTTGAAGCTGACTTCCTGAAAGGTTTTCCTATACCAATCTAGACAATTTCAAAGGTTACACTCTTCAGTTAGGAAAAAAATCCTATTAAACTCCCCATAATCTGGAATCATTTCAGTTTTCTATGACATTTAACTCTTCTTCAGAAATGGTTTTTGTCAGAGTCATCGTATGAAACGACATAGCAGGTAGAGGGAATTCGGGGCAGTCCATGTCCTTGAGGATCTTGCAGTCTAGAAGCATCTCATTTGATAAGACTTCTTCTAAGTGTTCTCCATCAGATAAGCTTCTTTCCTAATTTGTGCTATGGCTTTTATCAGGGAAATATATAAATTACCGTAATTGGATTTGAGTGATTTAATCTCCTTCTGGTATCAGATCAGACTTTTAAAGACTAAAGAATCCTAGAATTATGCATTAATGTTTTAATAAAGGACATTCTGATGAGAAAACAAAGAAAGGGCTTTTTTGTTTTTGGGGACAATTTGTTGGCTTGTTTCAGATTTGTTATTTTTTTCACTTTCATCTATCCCTCCATAGATAATTTTATGTGTAACTTAAGTTAATGTAAAACAGATGCAAAGCTGTACAAAATTAGCTGATAATTTAAATATCTAATTAATAGATTCAGTCTTATGGTTAGGTATAAAGATGTCTTGATGTGTAGAAGAAACAAGTTTCATATACATAGTTGAGATATAAGGTTTTTTTTTAAAGGGTCAGATATTGGGGAACGAATATTGGCAGCTAAGTGGCACAGTGGATAGTGTACTCATCTTCATAAGTTCAAATCCAGCCTTAGACACTTACTGGCTATGTGACCCTGGGCAAGTCACTTAACCCTATTTGCCTCAGTCTCCTCTTCTGTAAAATGAGCTGGAGAAGGAAATGGCAAACCACTCCAACATCTCTGTCAAGAAAACCCCAAAATGGGGTCATGAAAAGTCAGACATGACTAAAAACAACTCAACAACAGTTGGAGAAAGAATAATGCTTTTCTTTTTTTTAAACAAGTGATACTTTTGACCAGTTCTTTTGGACAAAGAAATTGTGGCTCAAGACTTGTGCTTTTTTGGAAGTGTTCAGTATTTTCTTTGAACTGTTCTAGCATTAAAGACAGGAGTAAAAAGGGTAAAACTCTAGACTTAAGCTCCATTCCAGCTGCATCCTCAAGCAGGAAGCTCTGGGAGACTGAGAAGCTGGAAATGGTCAGGGAAGAATACGAGGGTTCTGGAAAAGTTTTCCCTTTCTCATGAGACTACAACTCCTCCTTACCCCTTCTTTCCTACAAGTATGAGAGAGGTCCTTTTTTCCCTCTACTTAATACTATTTTATTTTTTCCAATTACATTTAAAGATAGCTTTCAACATTTACTTTTATAATACTTTGAGTTCCAAATGTTTCTCTCTCTCTCTCCCTCCCTCTCATCTCCCCTCCCCAAGATGGCAAGTAATCTGATTTAGGCTATACATGTACAATCATATTAAACATGTTTTCACACTAATCATGTTGTAAAAAGAGAATCAGAACAAAAGGGAAGAACCATGAGAAAGAAAAAACAACATAAAAAGAGAAAATAGAATGCTTCAATCTACATTCAGACTTCTTAGTTCTTTCTCTGGATGTAGGTAGCATTTTTCATCATGAGTCCTTTGGAATTGTCTTAGATCATTGTATTGCTGAGAAGAGCTTAGTCATTCACAGTTGATCATCATATATAGTATTGCTGTTACTATGTACAATGTTCTCCTGGTTCTGCTCACTTCACTCAGCATCAGTTCATATAAGTACTTCCAGGTTTTTCAGAAGTCTGCTTGCTCATCATTTCTTATAGCACAATAGTATTCCATTACATTCATATACCATAACTTGTTCAGCCATTTCCATTGATGGGTATCCCCTCAATTTTCAATTCTTCGCCACCACAAAAGGAGCTGCTATAGATATGTTTGTACACGTGGGTCCTTTTCCCATTTTTATGATCTCTTTGGGATAATGGACCTAATAGTGATATTGCTGGATCAAAAGGTATTCACAGTTTTATAGCCCTTTGGGCATAGTACCAAATTGAAAGAGGTCCATTTTCAAGAAAGTCAGAGGAAAAGAATCTGTCAATACCTGCCTTACAGGGATAAAGCATAGAGAGAGATATAAAATGAGTGGTGATACAATGGAAAATCTCACACGTATATGTTCATTTTCTAAAACCTTGGTTTTGGGATTAGGGTAGAACGGAAACTGAGTAAATCAACACATTTTCTGCTGCCTAAAAAGCAAGACTCAAGGTGCATGATGAATAGGACTTGGAGGCAGTATACTTGTATCCAATCCTGTTTCTGACACTTAATACCCTTGTGATTCTGGACAAGCCACTAAACCTCAGTTTGCCCATCGGTAAAATGAGAGGTATGGACTTGTAGCCCTTATATAAGAATGTTAAAATACTTCCTTACAATCCCTCTGAGTTCTTTTCTTGTCTCTCTTTTGATTTTACAGATCCCAAAACTCTCTTCCTTTTGGATCGTCTTCTCTATGGGAATGAAGGCAGTGATGCTTTAGTCAGCTGTCCTGTGACAGACCCAGAGGTAACCAATTTTACCTTGAAATTATGCAATGGAAAGCCACTTCCCAAGGACCTGATGCTTATTCCTGACATCCAGAAAGGCATCACCATCCAAAATGTGAAGAGAAGTCACAACAAGGTCTGCTTCCAATGCTCTGCCTACCAAGATGGACAGTTGAAGTTGTCCGACAAGGTGACCCTGAAAGTGAGGCCAGGTAAATGAAACCCTATTAAGTTTGGGAGCTGGAGAATGGGCCACCTTATTAAAAATGGCCAGTTTTAGTCTGATAAATCAGGCAGTTGGCCATCTGCCAAGAAATTCACTAACTCTGACCACCATCATCATCCCCACCCCCTAGCTTCCACCTAGTTCCCCTCTCGGTCTCTTTTTCCATGTTTTCTATAGATGGACTTGACTGTGTGGATTATAGGGATATCTTTTATGCACCAGAGCTTCATTATATTAAGAAATGGTCTTCACTTATAAATGAAGTGTACTGGGTGGTTTTCTTCCCACTATTTGAAAAGGGGGGAAAAAAGGTTAACACAGAAATTTAGTTATGACCCATTTGATTAAGGTGGTGGTGAGGTGAAATGTTGTATCAGCATTCAGTAGCATCTCTTGCATAGAGTCTTTTGGCCTCATAAAATATTATATGTTAATAAAACTGGTCCTAGTCTATAGAAGGGAAGTTCAATTGATTATGGATTTAGGTAGAAGTAGGGTCACGGAATCAGACTTTTTTTGAGTTGTAAGAAAATTCAAGAGTTTACTCAACTCCAAGTTTCCCTTAAATATTTAGTATTAGACCAGTGAAAGTTCAGAAATCGTGATACATTCAATAGACAGTTTGGAGGTTGGATTTACTTTGCTTTCACTTGGGGATATCGTGATTTCAGTGCATTTAAAAGGTTGATGGGAGGTGCAGTGCTACTGGTGGGAGAGTGGAGGACCTGAAATCAGAGGTTCTGGGTTTGAGTCTCGGTTCTAGCATTAACTTAAAGTACCAGTGGATCATAGGTATCAATTATTATTCAGTCTCCTCATTTTACTGATGAGGAAACTGAAGCCCAAGGAAGTTGAAGGGATTTGTCCAGGGTTAGAACAATTGGTAGAACCACCTTTCTGTGGCTTTGTTTCCTTTTTTTTTTGTAAAATGATTGTAATAATACTTTACTACTTACCTCGTAGTATTGCTATGAAGAAAGCTTTTTTTTTTAAATACACCTTAAAAGTGCTGTATCAATATGAGCTGTCTCTCATGATTTACTCCATGTGAGTGCTTCCTTCACTGTGGTCCAGTGGTAAGAGCACTGATTCTGGAATCCAAGGACCTGGGTTCAGATTACATCTCTTACTCAATGCCTCTGTAACCTTAATCATTTTGTTCCTCAGTTTTCTCATCTGTAAAATGGAAGGGTTTGACTAGATGACCCTGAGATCTTTTTCATCTTTATACACGTCACATCTGATGCTCTTCTCAAACCACCCCACAAAAAACATCCCAAAACAAAACAAATAAACAAAGTCCACAATTCACTTTTTGACAAACCTTTTGAATGAAGACCTTTTCTTAATTCCCTAGACAGCAAAGTATGGACTATTCAGCTTGACCCAAGACCTGCCAGACCATATGCCCCCCTGGCATAGAGCCTTTGAAAACCCAGGCTCCCTTCTATTTCGCAAGACACCGGAAGAGCACTTTATCATTATACCATTAAAATCTGTTTAATCAGCTATAGGGGAATAATTTACAGTGGAATAAATGGGCCAGGATTTATTTTACATTTTATTTAAGCAATTAGAATAGTGTTTAAACATGTTCAAGCTTATAAAGATTTTTTATAATTTTGTTGTATTTGATTTGTTGGATGGAATCAGCTTACAAAGCAGGATGACTTGAATGTGGATTCTCTCTGTGGTATCCATCCAGATGATGGGGGAGTGGGCTTCGGGGATAAATAAGTGGGCACGACTGAATTGTGTCTTTTAAAAAAAAAACAACAAAACTGTAGAGATATGTTACGGTACCCCTGGAATACAGCGTATACCATCTGAAAAGCACTTCCTTTACAGGATAAAAAGTTAAAGAAAGAGGCAAAAAATGACACTCCTGTACAGGGTTGTGCCATAAGAATCGTCTGAGTCACTTACAGTCAGAAATGGGCAAAGCATTGCTCTTGGAAGGCATGTGGGGAAAAAGTGGATGTCTTTTATTTGATTAAAAGAGCTTGATCATGCACTGGCCATGGACTTGGAGTACCATGACAGTTATCTGGGGCTAAAGATAAGGTCTTTCCCAAACTTGAGTTGGCACCTAACCATGTTTTTTAAAAGAGTATTTCCAGATGCATTCCTAAATTTATTTCCTTTCAAGTCAATATTAATGAAATTATTTGACATAATATTTTCAGTGTTGAAATCTTAAGGAAAGACTTGAGATGAATAGGTAATAAAGCTCTAACCTGATTTAGCTTGTATTTTACTAAGTGGTAGTAAAAATTAAAGTGGATATGTGTAGTCCCATGGTTTAGTAAATATAGGATATTAAAATGGTGGGATTTTATCAGATCAACTCTTCCCCTGAGATTGCTGATTGAAACATATACCCTTTTCTTGCAGCTGCGAAGAGTGTTCCAGAAGTCAGCTTGCTCAAAACGAACTACCTTCTCAGGGAGGGGGAGACCTTTGAGGTCATGTGTATGATTAAAGATGTGGCTAGCTCGGTGGTGTCCATGTGGATAACGGACAACAGTAGGGTACGTTTATGGTTGTATTTGTCTTCTGGGCTTGGTTTCTGTTTAAGGAGAAGACACACACACGCACACACACACACATACACACACACACTTTAACACAGAGCCTTTCGTCCTAAATGTAGGTTTCTTCCTGTTCATTCTTTCGCTTCTAAAAGAAACTCTTAAAGATGAGGTATTCTAGGGATATTACTCTGTCTGCCTACAAGTTTTCAGCTGATTAGGCAAAATGAATGGAACAGAACTACGAAGTTATTGTGTTAAGCTGAACGTTCCCCTCCTTCCCCCTCATTTTATTACCTTCCAAAGAAGAGAAATTTATAAGTTTATAAAAAGCTGCAAATAGGCATCCTCCGAAATGTTTTTTTTTTTAAAGCAACTTTGGGAGTGAATACTGAATGTCAAAGATATCAGGCTTTCCCTTTGAATGAACTTGATGTGAGATTTATTGGGAAGATTAAAGTACAAATGACTCATTATTTTGACATTATGATTGGCAATATGCAGATTTGCTATTCATCCCATTTGTATTTTTATTATTAAAGTGATAGGAAGAGATATACCACATTTCCTCTTCTATAGTTAAACAATTGTCCTACAGTTCCCCTACGTAAGGGATGGCCTATCCATTAAGAACCATCTGGCATTCAGTTGCCAAGTATTCTTTAGTAATTTTGCTTGAGGTTTTTTTGCTATTTAACTGGGTACTTAGTACCAAAACACTATTAACTAACCTTTTAGTTGACTTAATCTCTGGTAATAAAATGGTTGGTCACCTTTCTAGGAATCTTGTCCCATACATTGGTTACTTAGGAGACACCTTAGCACCATGTAATTCCTTCATTAAAATCTCTTTTGTCTTTAATAAACATTACCTTGAAACTCTTCCTATAAGAATCTTCTTACTAATTTTGAGGATAATGTCGTGGCTACAGCTTTTAACTGTTGAAGTTAATTCTGTTCCTGGCCCAAATAAGCATTCTAAGAAAGTAAAGGGGGGAACAGGGAGGGGGAGAGAGAGAGAGAGAGAGAGAGAGAGAGAAAGAAAGAAAACTCCCTATCTCCCCTCCCCCTCCTCATGCCCTATATGCCATAGGGTGTTTCATGCTTGTTTTAAGAACTCTTTACCAGACAGGTAACCATGGTGATTAACACAATACAAAGTCATTATAATGGTATTCATGTAGACTTGTAATGATACCTTGCTAAATGAAGCCTGCTATTGACTAAGATGATGGTGTGAACCATGGCCTATGGCATTGCTTTGAATTAGCAGGGGAAGCAAGTTTAGTTCCCATATCATATAATTTAATAAACCAAAAGCATATATATGGATTGTCTACTAATCTTACAGAATACAATCCCATATTAATTGGCTTTCTATAATCCCTTGCTTCAGCTGGGGAAAATTGAAATTATATGTGTATTTTAGCCTTTGTGTATAGAGAAAATTAGCCATTTTGAGATGTTCAAATCAAATTGCCTCGAGCAAATTTGTTCTGAATGCTGTTTCCCCAGAGCCCTGCCTGCCATTCTCAATTAATCCACTGGTGCTGGTTGATAAGCACTTAGCTGTGGGAGCTCTTTGGGGAAATCCCACACTGCAGCAGCAAGGGTTAAGGAAAAACTGAATCATATGCAAACAGTATGTGACTTGCAGATGGGGCTTCTGGCTTTGTGCCAGGGTCTTCTATAAATCATTTATTGGCTTCATTTTCCTTAATTGTGGCTCCTTAATTGAGAGTGACCACATTTAGGAATAATCTTAGCACTCTCTTATTTTTATATTTTTCTCTACAGGAAAGACTTTTGTTGTTGACTTTACAAGTATTTTTTTTAATATAAAATCTATTTTACAGATTTCATGAACAAATTTGGAATTGCATTGATCTGATTGGATTTAAAGTTGAATATTTCTTTTTTTAACCAAAGTCTTAGGCATCATTTACAACCCATTAAATCCTGATGGGTTCTAACCCTGGAAAGGCATATTGTTCTCATTTGTCCTTAAAATAAACTTTTGACTGGAACCTTAATAATGGCTTTTGGGTCTGGTAGTAATTTTTTATATCATCAGTGGAGAGGAATTACTTCTTTCTAGTAGTGACTTTTTGAATATCCCTGAATGACTTAAATTCCCTATCATGGAAATGTTTGGGGCTGCTTGCTGTAGGAGTAGAAACCAGATATCGGAAGGCAGCTCTAGAGTTTAGTGTGTTTCTCTGCTTGGTGACATTAACTCAGCCATAGGAAATGTCTGTCAAACACTGAACTGGATAAAGGCTAATGTGAAAATGTCACTTGACCTTACTATCTCTGCTTGCAAACCTTGTTTTTAAGGCCCCAATTCTCAGTAGTCGATTACTGCCAACGATTTAAACTACACTCTTTGATATGGCAAAGGCTGATTTCACAGAATCATGGAGCTAGGATACCTTTGAGGCCATCTAACCCCACTTGCTCATTTTACAGATAAGAAAAGTGAGGCCCGAGCAGGGAAAGTGACTTGTTTGACTTGTCTGTGGTGTCATGGTAGTTAGTGGCAGGACAAGTGTTTCTTGATTTGAAAAACTATACTAACCATTAGCTGCTTTATTTGTAGCTGCACTGATCCTATTCTTGACAGGACTTGTAAATTAAATTTTGGGTGTTCTTAAGTAGTTTAATTTCTTTTGCTGGAAAAAGGATTGTAGCAGGCATCATTTTTTTTTTTAATGAAGAATCCTCCCAGTGTCTGCCCACGAGGCAAAGATAAAAGACAGGATAGTGTCACCTCTGAGATATTTTCACTGCTAACTCTCCTTAGTCGAATTTCAGATAATTTGGGACTTTGCCTCACTAGGTCTAGTCAGTTTATCTCAGAATAATAAAAAATAATCCACATTTCTACAGTGCTTCAGAGTTTGCAGAGTATTTTTCTCACAACAGTCCCAAATAAATAATGTAGTAGAAAATATTGCTACCGTGTTATTGAGGCTCTGAGAGAGAGAGGTTAAGCTATGGCTGCCCAGCTAGTAAGTGTCTGAGGTGGGAGTCAAATCCTGGTCTCCTGACTGCCAGGTCCAACGTGCTTATATTCACATCATGGGAGTTCCTTCAACCGTCTGCTGAATAAGACCTAGAGTTATTGATTATTGCAGAGCAGATGCAGACATCCCTTCATGTGAAGGTGTTGAAAATCCAGCAGAATGCCTTCATAGCATTCTCTTGCCTTCATTTGGATGTGCAATTCTCTTCCTCCTCCCATGTAATTTAGAGGCTTTACCAGCCTTAACCTATCAATCAAGCAATCAGCAAGCATTGTTAAGCTGTGCTTCAGGCAACTTTGCTACTTACCATCACGTGCTTTAGAATACAAAGATAGATGGCCCTCAAGGAGCCTACATTCTATTGGAGAAGACAGATATACATCTATATTATATTCTATAGAGGACTGATTCACTGTCATAAAGGCAATAAATTTGATCTTTGTGGTATTTTGAGTTTTGGATTCCATATTTATTTGTAAGAAATGTATTCATATGCATTTTCTTTTCTCTCCTCTATAATGACATACTTTCAATATGGTATTGTAATATGAAGAGAGGTTCCAGTGACAGATTTGTCATAATGCCTTATTATTCCTTCTTAAGCAATGTGGGACATGAATATTAATATGATGAAGCTAATTGCTGCTATTTTTAATTTATCTAAGAAAGATTCTGCGTCTCTTTTAGATGTTAATCTTTGATTTTTTTTTTCCTTTCCCCTCTTCTGTAACCCACAGAGTAGCACACATACTCAAAGCAGGCATTCTGGTGATTATGCCTATGAACGTCAGCACATATTGACAATCAGTTCAGTGAGAGTTAATGATTCTGGAGTCTTCATGTGTTTTGCCAGTAATACTTTTGGATCTGCAAACATCACAGCAACCTTAAAAGTAGTAGGTAAATATCTCATGCAGGAATATAGAAACTATTGTCTATGGTTGGAGATGACATTGGAAGGTTGGTACTTTTTTTTTTTGCTAAACTAAAATAGAATATTGAGCTTTAGACCTTTGCAGACATGCCGTATTTTTTTAACCTCTGTATGCTGGAACATTAAGGCCGAACTATACCAATTAAAATTTCCTAAAAGGGTGTGTAAAGACATAAATAAGGTTCAGTTGAGACCTGTGGGTTGTGTGGGAGTTTTTTTCTCATACAAGTCTCAAACCAAGTTTGCCAATGTAAAATTACACTTCCAATTTAGAAAAATCTTGTGCTTCCTTTGTGATGCTACTTTAGAAAAATGGAGAAAATTTATCTACCGTAAAACCTAATGCTGGGGCAGCTAGGCAGCACAGTGGATAGAGCACCGGCCCTGAAGTCAGGAGGACCTGAGTTCAAATCCAGCCTGAGACCAAACACTTGACACTTACTAGCTGTGTGACCCTGGGCAAGTCACTTAACCCCAATTGCCCAAAACAAAACAAAACAAAAAAAACCTAACACTAGTGTCCTGGGACAGTCATTTGACTCTTTCTGTTCCCTTACCCTCATTACAGTCAACAAGTGTTTTATTAAGTGCATTATATGTTTAACATGAAGATTGTAGTTGTAGCTTGCCTTCCTGAGCTGGCAGAAAGACTTTGATACTTTGAAGGCCAGAGTTGGTTGGGAAAATGTAACTGGAAAATATTTAAGAAAATAAATAAAAATACAGTTGAACATAGATAACATTAATATGTGGTTTTCTAAATCAATATGTGGCTCATATGTACATTGCATACAGTTTAATAGGCAGTTTCTATTTCTCTTTGACATCACTGAGGCAGACTAGTCTTTCTAGCAGGTCTACTGAGTTTGAAGGGGGTAGAGGAATAATTGAAACTAAGCATCCCAAAGTGGAATTTGATAGCTGTTTTGGGAAGGATGAGGGTGGAGGGCTTGGGTCAGGTAGAACCTGGAACTGTGCTTTCATCAGTGCGGAGTGAAGAAATGGTAAAAGCAGATGGATAGCACATTTCTAACTTGCATTTGAGTGCTTTCCCTAGGACACGGAGAGGTTAAGTGATTTAACCACAGTCACGCTGCTAGTATGTTTCAGAGGAAGGACTTCCTGACACATATGTAGCCCTCTGTCCACTAAACCACGATGCCTCTCGTGGTATTGTCTCTACAATCTATATTTTCTCTTTGACCTTTAAATATCAATCTCTAGGACAGTGTCTGGGTTTCCATTGCCAATCTCTACCATATAGAATGTAAGCTGTAACTAATAATTTAATTAAACATATTTAATTTGGGAAAATCCTTTGATTGGAGGTGCTATATAGGTATAAATAAGTTGACACTGTTGTCATTATAATAAGACATCTTTCATCTTCAGTTCTGCCGTGTGGTCTGACTAGGTAACTGTGGCACATAGGATGGGTTTGTTGTTCATTCTTTTCAGTTGTGTCTGACTCTTTGTAACCCCATTTTGGGGTTTTCTTAGCAGAGATACTGGAGTGGTTTGCCAATTCCTTCTCGTTTTGCAGATGAGGAAACTGAGGCAAGCGACTTGCACAGGGTCACACAGCTAGTAAGTATCTGAGGCAGGATTTGAACTCAGGTCTTCATGACTCCAGGCTCTGCACTCCATCCCTCTGAGCCACCTAGCTGCCCAGGATGAATTTAGAGACCTAAATAAAGGGATAGATTTAAATACTTCTTAGCCTCTCAGAAAATAAGTTAGGTGATGAAATTGGCTTCCTAACTTAGTCACTTTATCATGAACTCATTCAGCTCCCATTTACTCTGTGCTCTGTAGGGGAAACAGAATAGGCTTGGGGAAATCAGGAAATTTAGTTTTCTTCCCATCTCTGCCACCAACTAGCTATGTGACTTTGGCAATTAATCTCTGGATCTCAGCTTACTCTTCTGTGAAACAAGGTGGTTGGATTCTCTTTAAGTTTCTCTAACTGAGATTTCCTTTTAGCTCTGTGATAGATACTCAGATTGTTTGCTCAAAGGCCCTCCTCCCAACCCCCTTCTTCCTCAAGCTAGATATTTCTATGGATCACTCCAGTGATGTTCTCTACTTAGGTTCTAGACTTGTACATCACGCCTATTTACTTTGATAGGAAGGCCATTGGAAAACCAGGCACTGCTTTTGAGAGGGTAGAGGGAACTATTGAAAGGGAGAAAATAAGGAGCAAAACTCAGTTTAAAATTAGTAGCAGTTACTCCTTCTCTCCTCTGTCTTCCCTACAAGCTTTAGCTGCCGCCATCTTTATGATTTTTGCATGTAGTGAGGATGTTAGACCAATCAGTGTCACCGTGTGAATATTTACAGGTAACTCCCACATTCTGGTACCAGGTGAATGATGTTTAACCTGGTTTGATGAAATAGTTTTGCATAATTTGACTCAATGAGAAAGATTCAGAGTTTAAAATAGAAGCAACCCCTTCTCACTCCCCTTCACCCCCTTTCCCCCCCCAAAACAAGTCCAAACTTTTCTTTGTTATATTTGATATTAGAGATAACAAGGAATAGTGGAAAGAGAGCTTTCCTTGGAGCCAAGAAGACTCATGTTCAAACTCCACCAATGAAAAAAGACTATGAGATCTTGGGCTTAATCATCTCCTGAGGGTTCTAGGCAATTCATTAAGACTCTGAAGTTGCAGAGAAATTAACAACCAATATTCATAGAAGGGATTTCCTCTTCTGTGACATTCTCTATAGCAATGAAATTGCAGGTCCAGGCCCTATTCCTATGTAATATCAAGCTTGTTTCAGAATCCTTCCCAGAATCTCAGTGCGTGTTATCCTTCATCAATGCTGGTAGCACAGCACAGCTTAAAGCCCTTTGTGGAGAATGGTAGCAACTCGATGGATGGGGTGTTGGGTTTCATTCTGTTTTCACTTTTAAGTTTGTTCAATAAATGTTTTCTGTGTCAATGTTAGAGGTTTGTGGCACACTCTAGTTCAATTGCTGTTTTATAATTTGGCATCTCTTTTCAATGTCATAATGGAAAATACTTCATCAGACTGAACATGGAAGAGATACTTTGCTAACAATTACGGTGCCAGAATACAGAGATAGGAGACTATTTTGGCCCCAAATGTGATTGCAAGCCCTTTTATTAATTTGAATAGAAGGCCATGCTTTTTAAATATTAAACTCCATAAGTGCTAATTAGCTAAGTTGATTAGGGAGCATGTTGGTATGATATCAGCCTCAGAAAGCAATTAGTAAAACTGTTATAAGCACATCTTGGTATGTAATCGGATTTTTTCCCCCTAATCCATTCATCTGTTTCCAAGAATACAATGGTGCATAACTGGAAGAGTATACAGCTTTGAAACCTGACCCCGGTTTTGTATGTTTTGTGGGTGGTTTTTGGTGGGGTGTGGTTGGGTAAAGGGAGCTCTGGGTTGGAAAAGAGGGAGGAAAGTCATTGATCATTTCATTAGCATGGGTATGAAAATGATACCAACCAATTCCAAATGCAGAGATCCCAGGGTAGGTATCTTTATAACAGCAACCCATAAGGAATCACGTAATTCTGTTAATATTTTCATTTCCTGGGTAAGAAATGTGATGTATCTACTAGACCAAAAAAAAAGAAATTATGCTGAGCATGTGAAAAAAGATAGCAGGGGAAAAAACCACAGGGGATTTAAGATAAGGCTGTTACATAGAGAACCTGAGAGAAATCTTTTAAATGCAAATATTTTTGGCAAACACTTCAGGACATTTTGCCAAATAGCACTTTGAATTATGAGCTTGAGAACCTGAGGAATTATCCATTTTCAAGAGAGTATTGTTGTTTTAGAAATTAACCTAAATTAATTTAGGAAGTCATTGTCCAGTAGTTGACCAGAATGTTTTCGATTACTTTGTAGTTTCCACTGTGGTTTATGATGGAAATTGGGAAGTAAAGGGAAGCATTTAGGTGATTTATTAGGAGCTGACCCTTCCTAAGTCAGTTTATATTCTTTTTAAAGGTCTAAATAGTACAATGGACAGAGTTTTTTGGACCTGGGTTTGTTTTTTTAAATTTTTCTTTAATCTCTGTGAGATTGATACAGGTGAAAGAGTTGGCTATTTCCTATGGAACTTTGCTCTTTATTTCTAAAATGTTTATTGATAGTATTTGTTCTTACATCACCTTTATTTCCCAATACACTAAAGAGCCATCCTATAGTATAAAGAATTAAAAAATTAAAGGGAGGGGAGAGGAAAGCAGTTCGCCAACAAGTTTATTTTCTTTAATGGGATAAAGCCAAAGCAATGAACATTTTTAAATAAGTAAATTTTAACACCAACTCGTAGAAGTACATATTTATTGAGCTTCACATCACAAAGAACTGATCATCCCTGGAAAAGAACACTACGTGAGGAATGGGAAATAGAGACTTAAGGTTTCTCTGGACTCCATTTCTAAACTGATTTTTGTTATATTAACATTGGATGTTGTGCATAGTAGCAAATTTCTTTTTTTTTAATAAGCAAAAAGGTTTTTTTTATTCTGTTGGAGGAGGCTAACTAGACATATGTGCCCAGATCTGCTCTGATACCAAGGAGACGCACTGCAGTGAGACTGAACCTTGATACATACACTAGTGGTTACACAGTGAGTTGTAGCCATGGCAATAGGGGTTAAAAACAACAAATGTGGCAAGTTTTACTCATAATAGGGCTTCATAACCAGAACATGGTATAGAAAAGCAGGTGTTTGTCTGAACTCAGAGAATACCTAGAACTGGTATGAAACAATTCTGGGATTTTACTGCAGTGGAGGGTGAACACAAAGAATTGTTATGCCAAGTTCAAGGCAAAGCCTACTTGCTGGACCTTAGTTCTGGAAAACAAGGTGTCTACTAACAGTAAAAAGAGAAGAATAAAAAGATAAGAGTGGTCTTGGCATGGGGATCCTGACAATGTTTGTAGGCTCTTTTTTTTTTTAAGTCATGGTTTTCAACTATTCCAGTAATTCTTTTTTTTTTTACTCCAGTAATTCTTAAATCCTTTCTCTTTGATCTATTTTCTAAGTCAGTTGTTTTTCTAATGAGATTATTTCACATCTTTTTTTTCCATTCTTTTGATTTTGTTTTATTGTTTCTTGATGTCTCATGCAATTCTTAGCTTCCACTTGCTTATTCTAATTTTTAAGGTATTATTTTCTTTAGTGAACTTGTGTACCTTTTCCATTTGGCCAATTCTACTTTTTTTTTCCAATTCTACTTTTTAAGGAATTGTTATCTGCAGTGAATTTTTGTATTTTTTTTCCATTTGACTAATTCTGCTTTTTAATCAGTTCTCTTTGGTATATTTTTATGCCTCTTTTACTATTTGGCCTATTATGTTTTTTAAGGCATTATTTTTTTTTTCAGTATTTTTTGTGCCTTTTTTTTTCTTCCAGTATTTTTTGTGCCTTTTTTTTACCAAATGGTTGAGTCTTTTTTTCATGATTTTCTTACATCAGTCTCACTACTCTTCCCAATTTTTCTTCTAGATTTTCTTATTTAATTTTTAAAACTCTTTCTGAGCTCTTCCAGAATTCTGAGACCAATTTACTTTTTTTTTTCTGAGGCTTTACATGTAGGAGTTTCTGCTTCCAATGTGGAAGGGGCAATATTCCAAGTTTCAGGTTTTTTGTGCTGCTGTTTTCACAGGTAGTTCTGGGGTCTGTAAGTTTTCAGTTTTTTCAAGGTGGTATGATCTAATACAAGATGCAGTCACGGCTCTCCTGGCTTGTGTTCTGGTCTGTGAGAAATCACAAGCACTCTTTTTCCTCCTGTAACTGTGACCATGGTTCCTACTCCTTCTAGTGCTCCTCCTTACCCTAACTACAAGGTAGAACCACCTATGTGCAATGCAACAAAGTTCTGCTCCAAGTGCCAGCAAAGCACCCCATGCAATCTCCTTATGATGAGTTGTCTGACCTCCTTAAGGTTTATGGGTTGAGCAAATTTCAAATATAGTAGGATATCCCTTTTTTTCCTTTTTGCTATGTATTTGACAATTCTCAGCACAGAAAAAAAATTTGGAAATTTTAAAAATGGCTGAATATGGAACTGCAAATCTAGTCATTTACAATTTGTTTTTCAAAATGTGTACGTTATCTTTAACATGGTAATTAAACTATTTCCATGTTCCCTTCTAAACTTTTCCCCCTTTTTCTGTGTATTTCTCTAGACTTTGGTGGTGGTATCTCTACTCACTTACATAGTCATATTGGTGTTCTGTATTGTCATTTTGGTTTTTTTCCTAGTAAATCTCAGGTAACTCACCTAGCTATTTATCTTGGCATTCCAAAGGTAATGTAGTTTTCTTGGTCATATGGCATTAAGAAAACTTCTTTGTGAAGTATGTACCCATATAAAATTTTGTATTCGTAGTCGTGGGTTTGTATCTTTTCTCCTTACTAGATTATGAACTCCATGAGTACAGGAATTGTGGTCTAATGAAACTTAGTCTGTATACCAAGCATCTTATATAGTATCTTGACTAAAAAAATAGTCTTTTGTTAATTGTCTGATGAGTGAATGAATGAAGTGGTAAAAGACTTCATTTTCATACTGAAAAAGGGTTTATTCACTGGGGACTTGAATTAATCTATATCGAATAAGAATTCCTTCTGATGAATGAAGGCTTTGGGAAATGTCATTGTTAACTTTTTTCCTTGATTCTTTTCTCTGTTACCGTTAGAAAAAGGGTTCATTCACATTTTTCCCAAGATGAATACCACAATTTTTATAAACGATGGAGAAAACGTAGACTTAGAGGTCGAATATGAAGCATTTCCCAAACCTGAACAGCTTCAGTGGATATATATGAATGGAACAGTCACTGACAAATGGGATGATTATATCAAACCGGGAAGTCAGAGCACTATCAGGTAAAGGAAAGATGGCAGACCTGATATTTGGGATTTGAAATGTTTGAGACAAATCTTGGAATATACTTTGTTTTTTGGTTCTTGTAGGGTTCTTGTCTCTATCTATAAATTAATAAAACTTTAGTTCAACTATGCAGAAATTTATAAGCAAGGCACAGTCCTTTCCTTCAAAGAGGTTTACCATCTGTGGTTGGAAATGTGGATGGAGTAGGGGGAGCTAAAAGATATACACAGGTATCTTATTCTCTTTGATATTTTTAAGTGTCCTAGGAGAAGTTATGAATTCTTGAAGGCATGTGGCCTTCTAACCAATTGAACTTTCTATTTAGCTTATAGTAAAGCAGAAGACCCTTTCTGTTAAACTCTGTTGAAATTTCTTTGCAGAAAAGGCTAATATATTTTTCTGTATTTATAAATAGTTTTTCGTGAGTAATGCTTCAGATTTTGACAACTATGAAGATAGATCAGACCTCAAAGACCATGGGGTTCTATTCTGAATTTTGAAAGTAGAAGACATTGGGTTGAATGTTGACTGACCTAAAAGTAAAGCCTGAAAGTTGTGTGTACATACTTGTGCTTTAAACACACACACACACACACACACACACACAGCCACATTGTACAATGACTGACTTTGATAAACTTGGCTCTTCTCAGCAATGCAAGGATCTAAGACAACTCCAAAAGACTCATGATGGAAAATGTTGTCCACATCTGGAGAAAGAACTATAGAGTCTGCATGCAGATGGAAGCATACGATTTGCTCTCCTTTTCCTTTGTTGTTTTGTTTTATTTCTTCATTCTCATAGTTTCTGCCATTAATTCTAATTGTTCTTTACATCATGACTAATGGGAAAATATGCTTAATAGAATGTGTAAGTACAGCCTATGTCAGATTGCATGCCATCTTGGTGGGGGGGAGGGGGGGAGAAGGTAGGGTCAAAAATTTAAAACTCAAAATCTTATGGAAGTGAAAGTTGAAAGCTAAAAATGACTAAATTATTTAAAAACAAACATAAAAAAAAGACCTTGATGCTGGAAAAAGAAAAAACCATAACTCTAATAATACCCACTTTCTTTTTCTTTTTCTTTCTTTGTCCTGAGAGGGGAGCACAGAAAAAAATCAGTTGAAGTAAATGACTCACATTATTAATAAATCAGCATAATTGTAGGGAATGGAATTTTTGTAAATCAGTTTTTACCCATTGACTTACATCATCATCTTGGGCTTTATTTTCATTCTGCTTGATCAAAATTCAATGGATAGTGATTTGTAATTCTTTAAATTATTTATAAATGGACACTTTAGGAAAGTGAGAAAACTTTTTGTCAACTGCCTACTTTATTAGTTGAATTACATGTATATTTTATACATATGTATTGCCTATAATTTAGGAAATCAGTTGCTATCATTTTTTGTGCCTTGTTTCCCCTATGTTTATGGTTTTAGAAATTTATTCTTGTCATCTGCACAAAAATTTGATTTACCTATGATACATAAAATTGACTTTTCCAAGATTTTGTTTGGTTTCAAGATCAGAAGTGTAAAATCCTAAATGATGTTGGGATTCAGGATCCCAAGCCCTAGACTGATGTAATTTCCTAGTGGGAAGGCTCTCTAAACATTTTAAATATTTACTCCCAAGTGATTAAAATGGCATGTTTCCAATTCGAGATGATAAAAAATGCATGATTCCACAGGTCTGTGATAATGTATTTTTATTTTCTTTGTAGGTACATAAGTGAACTTCACCTTAACAGATTAAAGGGAACTGAAGGTGGCCCTTATACCTTTTCAGTGTCTAATTCAGATGTCAGCGCCTCTGTAACATTTAACGTTTATGTAAAGAGTAAGTAACACTCAATGGTTCATTGTAATTTTTTCCTAAGTGACTTGTGTCTGTAACAGATACAGAATAGAATATATGCTCTGCAAATATATTTTATGGTAATTGTGATCTTAAGAAAAATAACGTGGATGGGTGGTGGGAACCCAGTGCCAGGGAGTTCATTTTTTGGCGCTGTTACTTACTACTGGATGACCTTGGAGGTGTTCCTCTAGATTGATTAGTCTTTTTTCCCTTTTCTTTTTTTGGCTAGGCAATGGGGTTAAGTGACTTGCCCAGGGTCACACACTTAGGGTCCTCCTGACTCCAGGGCCGGTGCTCTCTCCACTGAGCTTTTCCCCCTTTTCTTAACATATCTTTAGATGTGGCAGAAATTTTAAAAAAAATTCACGTGTTTGTTATTTACAATGGAAATCCAGAGGTTGTGAAAGAAGTTGTAATATAATTTCTTTGCTCTTTAAGTAGTATCTATATCATTGTGAACAGTTTGATACCATCATATCCTTTAGTATGGTAAATGGTATAGTGGAAGGAGGGCTGGCCTTGAGGTTGGTCAGTCAGGACTTGGTTCTGGTTCTGCCTCTGATGCATAATTGACAGTGTGACCCTGGGCAAGTCACTTAACTTCTTAATGTCCTTGACCACTTTGAGGGACAGTAAGTTACCTAAGGATAGAGGGAGTCTCTGTGGTTAGAGTTCTCTGCCATGATTAGCACACAGATCTAGCCAAGAAAGCTGAAAGTTAGTGGGATTTATTCTTGAGAGCACTAGTTGTACTTGTGTGAAAGCATTGATTTTGGCTGCAAAATCTATGTCTGTCCAGAGTTTTATAACCTCACTTTATTACTTGAGAAGATTGGTATCATATGTGTCCTTCTTCCACCAAAGGAGACTTTAGCCTTTTCACACTTTCATGATGCTAACAAGAAGAGAGGTTGGTCATGTAGAAAAAGCAAGGGATAGTACATGGATGTCCAAGTGCTCTGCTGGTGTCACGGCAATTTTAGGAGAAAACAAAGGCCCTTGGTACGTTGAATTCCCCGTATGGTGAAATTATGGGAGGGGGTAGTTGCTGTGCAATCCACATGATTAGAAAGAGCATCCAAATTGTAGAGATTAGAGATCCATTTGAGTAAAGCCTATATAACTTTAGTGACTGATTTGGAGAAATGCATATAATTATCAAGCACGATACAGGCTTTCACCAATTTCTTAATGGGTTGCCTTTGAAAAGGTCATTTAGAAGTCAGTAGTTTGGAACTTGGAACATTATCAGGAGAGTAATAATCCTCGTTTTTTTTGCAATTCACTTTTCTCATAACAACCTTGTAAGGTGTAGGTAGTAGTTCAAAGATTGTCCCCATTTTACAGAAGAAGAAAGAGGCTTATAGAGATTAAAAATTGTTGCTAGACTAGCTCAGCTGATAATTGAGAACTTTGTGGCTTAGGGAACAGGAAATTCTTCTTAAGAGAGACTCAGGAAAGAGAGGGAAGGTGTATTCTCGGGTGCAATGGTGGGGAGGCAAGGGAGAGTGCCTGTGGGGGTGAGCTGGTCCTGGTGACTCCTTCAAAGGGACTGTATAAAGTTGGCGACTGCCTGTAGAAGTAATATCTGCAGTCTCCATCTTATCAAAAAATGCTCTCTGAACCTCTTTCATTGCTTTCTCCTTCATGTCTTTTTTGGGTCAATCTCTCTTCTCTCCCTAACTTAGAGATAGATTTCATTTCAAGGTGGCAGCCCCTTGTTTGACTCTTCTTCTCCCTCCCCACCCCACAATGTGGACAGAAAATCTTAGTCTTATCTAGATTTCAGCCCATTAACCTTCTGATTCAGATTTGAGAAAAACACTGAACTTGACTTAAGGCATTGTCCAGAGCTATAGTTTTCAAGAGCTTGAGTTTTGTTCTTAGAGGTAGCACTATTGTAGGAAATTGAGAACTTTCTCCACCCTGGAATGTTTCCCAGTTCTTTACAAAGTGTGTGAAGTGTTTTGTTTTCTAATTGGAAAGATATTTTTACTTGAGTTAAGGACATTGCATTAGGGATAAGGCTTTTTTTAAAGCTTCAAACAGTTTTGTCCATTCTCATGTTTTTCATCTATGAATTTATTGATCAAGAAGGAAAATTTTCATTCCATTGTGCGGTTTGAGTGCAAATGAGCCCAGTTAAGAATCATATCACTTTAGAGGGCTGGAAACATGGTCATTTAAGCTTGACATTTCATTCGTAAGGACACTAATTCCCAGAGAGGGCAAGTCATTTGCCCAGGGCCCTAGGAATGAAGGGGAAAAATGGGTTGACATTTAAAAAAAATGATATAAGTAAATTAAATTTAAAAATTTATTTATAGCTTGGTCTTTTTTTAAAAAAATCTCTTTAATTTCCAGATAGCTCCGTTTACCTTTCCCCCCTTCTCCAGAGAGCCGTGGCCTTGTAGCAAAAAATAGGAAAGAAGAAAAAGCAGTTCGGCAAAACTAATCAACATATCAACTAACTGTGATAATATATGCCATATTCCACACCTCTAGTCCTCTATCTCTGAAAAGAAGGGAGAGAAATGCATGATGGCCAACCTTGGTTACTATAATTACAGTGTCACTAGTTTTAGGCTTTCTTTTTTTGGTGGTGTTAGTTCCAGTTGTGTTGGTATAGATATTGTATGTATCATTTTTGTTCTGCTTGCTTCACTTTGAAGTGTTTCATATAAGACTTCCTTTTCTCCTCATTTACTCATTCCCCAAATGATCAATATCTCCTTGCTTTCCTTCCCAGAACAAAAGAAAGCCTGAAACTGGTAACACTGTCATTATAATAGTCAAGGCTGGCCATGATGCATTCCCCTTCCTTCTTCGCTACTCTAAAAAGAGAAGTCAACTTTTTAAATGATAAATATATTACAAATATAAATGGTAACATTTATATTGAACTCCAAAATTCCTAATATGTGGCATTTAGTGCATATTCATTCTGATAGATTTACCTCGAAGAAATATAGTGAAAGTATAATTTGGGCTGACTAACATTTGGATTCTAGAAAATCCAATTTATGTCTGGCAAGCCATTTATAAGTCTGGCTACTGATTATCGAGGAAGCTTTAAAAATCCCTTATTAGCTTTAAGTGCAATCCCTTTTCTTATTTGGACTTTGATTTCCTTGTTTATAAAGTGAGCAAGTTTTACTAGATGGACCCTAGTACCCCTTCATGCTCAAAATCTAGACTCTAGACTCTGAATTTGCTCAGTTGTTATTAGCATACTTTGTAAGCCCTCCAGCCAAGGTCTGATTTATAAGTCTTTGTTAAGTAATTGACAGAATTCAGACCCATCTCTCCCTTGACTCCAAGACTCAACTATTTTGAACTATAATATTACCTTTCAAAATAGCTTTCAAAAAAGCACTCTAAGGCTTGAAATGCATATTTTCATTTGTTCCTCAAATTTGTTCACAGTTCTTGAGGCACCTGGGCTTCACACTAGTATAATGGCATATTCAGTGTTGCGTAGCTTAATAACGCTCTGAGGTCTCGGGTCTTTTCTTGACTCTTAAGTTCAGTGGCTATTTTTACTATACCATGTTACCTCAATTAGTAGATAATATCTAGTTGCTGGTGTGACATGAGAAAAAAAGTCATCATCTTTTAGACTTGGCTAATAAGCCAAATTGTCCTAAGCTGATGCTCAGAAGCCATCTTTGTAATTCGGTAGATCCTGTCAAGGACTTGTGTCCTACCAGCTTCACGTGGGGTTGCCTGTAGTTTCATAATAAGGGCTGACATACTTATAAAAAGTAGGCTCTGAAGTGATTTCTTCTCAGATATTCTTCAACGATTTTATTCTGATTGTGTCTCCTTTTACAGGCAGGGGAAAAGTGATACTTAAGTGAACTAAAGCCTTCTCCAGGATTCTCAAGGTAGCTTGTGTTGTACCCAGAAGAAAGATTTTTTCCCCTCATTTGCCTCGATAGAAAAGCAAATTCTACTTCTTTAAGTATAGAATGCATACAACATAATTTTGATCCGGTACTGAGAATAGAATGAAAGGCCCATTTCTGTCCTTTTCTTAATTTGATCAGTTATAATGTTTTAATGCCACCTCCACAAAGTAAGCAGTTTTAGAATTTTATCTTTACTCATTTGGAATCATTTATACCTTAAACTTTCTGAAAACTAAAATATAATTAAACATTTAAAATTAAGTGACCATTCCTCTACAAAATGTGTAAACCTCCTTAGAATAAGGCTTCTCAACAATTTTTGTGTCATAGGCCCCTATTGGCTGTCTGGTGATGCCTAGGGAACCCTTCTCAGAATAGCATTTTCAGATAATTGTAGGAAATGCTAAATTTCAGTCAGAGGTTAGTGAAAATAAAGCTATAAAATTTTTTTTCCATCTAAATTCATGGACCCTTTTAATCTATACATGAAGCCCAGGGTAAGAACCCTTGTTTTAGAAGACCATGTAGTAAGGTGTAGTGAAAAACACCCCTTGTCCTTGTCCCTCTTCTGGCACTTAAGAGTTCTTTGACATTAGTTGAGTTACAACTAACAAGTTACAATCGGAGGTAGTAACTCTTAAAATATCTGCTTCACAAGGTCATGGTGAAGAAAGTGTTTCATAACTCTTAAGGCCTATATAAATGTGAGCTCCCACTGTTAAAGAGGTAGAACTTTTGAAATGGTACTTTTAGTCTCTACCTGATGCCATTTTTGAATTCACAGTTCACTTCAGGTTTAAAAGCCTTAATTAAATTATATGGGTAAATTAATAGCTTAACTTATTTTGAAGTCATAAAGGAGTTTCTCTTCATTTTTGGAGTACCCCTCTCTCTCATACTCAACTCTTCTAACAGTGGAAGTAGGGCAGGATGATGAAGAAAGTGAGAACTAATGAACCCAACACTCCATCCTTGGGGTCACATAAGACATCATAAATGTTGAGTTAGATTAGATTCCCAAATGGTATTAAATTAACTCTTCCCAAAGCCGCCAATTTCATTCCGTTT